GTTTAGGGCCTCATTGCGGAAGAATCGGTTGCCTGTGATGGAATATATGCTGAGTTTATATTCAGCACTGAAACAAATCCACAACCCCCCAGCGATTTCGCCATACTACTATAGATGCTGAGAAATGCTCATTCAAATTTGGAAAAAAGGTCCCATCTATCCATTAGTGTAATTCTAAAATAATTTGGAGTACTTTTGAGAAAGTTATGGCGAAACGACGGTTTGCGGCAGAAAAATCTGTCCAACCGCGATCAACCACAAATTAGGAGCGGTACTGCATTCTCATGCAGAAACCAGTTCAACTGAGCGGTTCTGTGACTGGAACACTGCAAAAATCAATTTGGGACGGTTTCCAATTTTCGCTTGTCGCACATGACCAGCACATTTCGTCACTCTCCGTTTTGGTAGTAGAGGTAGCACAGTGGTCAGAGGAGCCGGGCGCTCGGTAACCCTACATGAAAAAGCTCAGAGAAAACGAGGAAATGATTGAGACCCCTTAAATTCGGAGTATTGCGACAAGAGCGACTGCGCGTGTAAGAACGAGAACGGGTGGCGTGTAAGCACGCACTGTGTCACCTGCACGTTTGCAACATCTCGGTATGTACCTCACGAGCCCGAGTGAATAATTTTTTATAGCCTGTATTCTGCGCACTTTCGAGTCGCGAACTTCGTTTATTGTGATGGTTACCTACCTACTAAAATGACTGATCCCTAATGCTAAGCGAAGTGTGTCTTGAAGGGTACAGACCTGAAGAACGATTCTCTAAGTTGGTTATTCAGGGTGCACTCGACCGCTTCGCGCAGTTCTTTCTGACTCCGAAATTTGCCGCCAGCATGATGGAAAGAGAGGTATGGATCATAGAGTTCGAAGGAAATGTATGTGAAACTGCTTCTATAATTGATAACGCGCAATCAGTCGGGATGATGGCAGCGATCATCTATCTCAGAATGGTCACCCGCGTTCGGTTGACTTCTTCTGCCAGTGGTGATCGCTCATTGGTCGAGATGGGAAGGAAACAACGGTGGTTGGAACACCGCGGGTAAGCTGACGCTATGCCTCATGATACGGCCCAGGTGATTGCAAAGATACAAGTGCACAATTTGGTCGAGCGCATCAGCTGCATCTATCAGTTACGCAGCGTTCAGACTTCGCGATGACCCACGAAGACGGCTCCAATCGGGTAGACGCTAATACAGCCATTGACGAATTGGTGAGCGCCACCTGCGCGCCCTGGCGACCAGACTACATGGCTGGGCCATGACCACCGTCGTTTCACAAACTCTCTTGATATCCAAGCAACGCCCATCGATTCTTATCTGTGGCTGCGTTCGCATCAATAGGACTGAAGCGCTGTAGTAATTGCTGCGCGTTGCGGCGTGTCAAAAAGTCTAAAGGTTGCCCTACGAATGAGCTCGGTACATCTGTCCTCACGAGTTCAGTCTAGTACTAATTGATCATATGAATCGACCATCTCTCAACGTTCTCCCCAAAACTTCGGAATGGTAGGAAATCAGACTGTGCCGGTGTTGATCGCAACAGCAGCCAGGTCATTATAGAGCATGATCTCAACCGCCCGCACTGCGCATGGTAGGTTGCAATCTGTGCATAAACTGGAAATGGGATACATAGACGTGGTGCACACTCTGTTTAGACGTCGCCTGCAATGGGCCTATCGCGATTTCCATTTGAAGCGACTGTCATCATGGCCAAAGCCTTATGACAATTTTATCTAAACGGCAACGTCGTATCCAAAGCGTGACCGCCTATACGTTCGAATGACTTATGGAGCCACAACCGCTACATCATCACCGAGTTACGGAGTGTATCATGGGCCGCTGGCTGCCACGTCGCGGAGCCAACATACGTGCGGCTCGCAAGCTACTTCTGTGAGCGCTTTTATTCAGGTACTCGCTGTTGACTCAGAACATTCGGAAAATGTCAACATTGACCTTCGACGAGCTGCTCAAGTGCTTCGGTAAGTCACGTAGCAGTACTCGTATTAGTGGATTTCCTATAAGGGATCTTCGAATGGATCAAACAGAGAGAAGAGAAAAAAGGTTCGTAAACTAGTGCAGAATAGGAACAACACATCAAATTTATCATTTTACATATACTTTTACACATACATATAAAAGTGCACTCACGCTGGTCGTGTGGACAGAGCTGAGCGTACCATTGTGGTTTCTTCATTGTTGCGATCCTCATCAAAGCTACGAACGCGCCAATGGTCACACTAGTTCGACCTACCATCAGCGTGAAATGCGGCTACCCCGTCTTTCAATACATTAGCTGCTTTCAGTTATCTCTCGAAGCCAGGTCACGATTCAGGAAATTTTCAACGGGCAATAAGGTTTGGTAAGAAATAATTCACATAGAAAATAGAAGCTTTTCCATTTCTTAATTTTCCTTGTACAGCTCCCTTCCAGAAAACACTACTGGACGATCCACGGGAGGAAGGTATTCAACCTCATGAGGCTTTGCTCAAATTTCACAAAGAATGGTACAGTTCTAACATGTGAGTAATCTCGTCTTGTCTTATTACTGACGTATAAAATGAGATGAAGACACACTCTATGCTGGTGGTACGGGCGTGGCTGGGCCTACCACTGTACCTGCCCGTTGATGTGCCATCTTATTCACTGTCTTCGGAATAGAGGACATCACCGAGAAAAGCGGAGCGGTGGGTCCCACTCCGCCCATACGCCAAAATACTCTCGACTTGTTCTCATCTTTGGATTCTCATTAGTATGTCGTTTCGGGTGTGTATTGTTGACTCTGCGAAACCAACTGGATTGTCATGGGAGATCCACCCTGGCAGATTCTGGTGCTTCGGATGCGATAACGAAAACAAAAGGGTGTGGAACGAAAAGAGTGGGAAAGTCCATACGGCGAAGAGCAACTGCGTAAACGTATTGAGGTGAGTGAACTCTAACAATTTTTTCTGCAAGCTTTCAATTCCGTCCCTGCAGTGAATTTCTCACCCGACGACGCGGTGGTCCTACGTCTACTTTGGCAAGCGGTCCGACGCCGTTGCAGTCGGTAATGGCTGTGACGCCCTTTACGATGATTTCTCCTATTTTCCGCTTCTGAAAGCTTTATTCTTCGTTCAACTCTCTCAGAAAGAAGTTAGAATATGTTTACTGAGTCTGAGAAAGGAAACCGATTTTCTAAGCAAAAATTTATGTTAAGATCATGCAAAATGTAAACCGGTTTCAGCAGACATACGCACCTCTGCCGAACTTCAAAAGACACATGGTACGCTTAAACACATTGAGGGTGTATGAGACTAACAGCCCCCCAGCTGTCGATGTGTCGTGGTTTCCCCGCCCGAAACTGCACGGGGTGTTAGTACGGGCCGTGTGCGGGGACAGTCTAATTCTGCTTACACCGCCCTCACGTTTATGCTAACACCATCCGCGCGGCGCGGGTCGCATGCAGCTCTCTCGGCTTTTAGGTGCTACAAAATAAGAAGCGAAGATGATGACAAGGGCTAGAACTCAAGAGCAACTGTGGTGCTTCTGCAATATCCTTTAGAGCCTCCGCATTCCCACAGAACATGACAATAAATACGGACAACATGACACTAAAACATGACAATACAAGCAAAACGCAATTTCCTTAACATTCGGGTATGCGCCATCAATGAACTTCAAAGTCCTGAATAGAAGGTGATGAAGATGACAAAGGCTAGAAATGAACAACAACGAATGTAGATGTAAATAAAACAAAATTGAAAAAACTAAGGAAACGCAATAAATTAAAATCGAGAGAACCGGATCCGGTAGCCAACACCCGCCCAGTTGCTGCCAGTTTCTGCCGATCCGGCTCGAATCCGGCTCTAATGCTATAGAAATACTTCAAACTAACGAGTAGGACGCTTAGGCCGTTTTTATTTTGATGTTTTGTGGGAATGCGCGGCCTGCGAGGGCTAGCGGTTGCAGAAGCAGCCACATGTTGCTCTGAGTTCTAGCCCTCGTCATCATCTTCAGTTCTTATTTTGCAGAACCTAAAATGTTATCCGCATAAAGAAATTGCGTTGTACTTGTATTCCAAAGCGCAATTACAGGACTTGGCAAAAAGCCAAGAGAGCTGCACGCGACCGCGCCGCGCGGACGGTGTTAGTAAAACGTGAGTTTGCAAAAACGGGCGGCGTAGCAAGGAATTACGACTTTCCCACGGTCCCGTACTCTGACCCCGTGCAGTTTTGGGCGGGGGACCACGACACATCGACAGCTGGGGGGCTGATAGTCTCATACACCCTCAATGTGTTTGAGCGTACCATGTGTCTTTAAAACAGAAAAAAGAATAGATTCAGCTTTTACAAGCTGAATACAACAGAAATACAGCAAAAACACCGCAGAAACCAGCTGACAGGGAGCGTCAGCACTTGTCGATCGACGAGAGCCAAGAGGGTGAGCAGATATGCGGCGGAGTGTGTTCGAGCGCAGAGTAAATGTCGGAGAGCGCAGAAGGCAAGGATGATAATTGCCCGGACTTCCGCTTGCCACCCACACGCAACCGTCAGACCGCTTGCCAGTGTGTCGTAGGACCGCCCCACCGTCGGATAAGTACTCCACTGTACTTTATCTCTATAACCAGTCGGATCGCCCGGCTGACGCCGAGCTCTCCTCCTTCTTTAAGCTCGGCTTCGCCGAGCTGGCCTGGCTTCGCCAGGCGCACATCATAACGGGAATGGAATTTGTTAATTGCCTGAGCTGCTCATATTGCGCGGTAGTGGTCGAATCATAATAGACAGAGTAACCTAGCGAAATCTGCACCCCTCAGTCCACCCTGATTTTGCGGAAGGCGTGCTGGTTTCGGCCATAACGCCCATTCTATACGTAGATCGTAGAAATATATAGGAAGTACAGTCGGCCATGAGCGCAATATCAATATGAGTTGCACAGTAGATGAAAATTCCGTTTTTATTACCTGCATCACAACGCCAACGATGAGCGATTAATTTGCCATTAACATGCAATCCACCTGCTAAGGTTGCATGAATGACTGCTATGCCAATATTTGGGCTGCATTCGTTGAATATCTTACAGACTACAAAGCCAAATAGTCACTGAACGCATAAAGTGTGCTTCAATATTCAGGTTTTTGTCTTTTCGAAGCTTCCTATTTCAGGAGAAGTACATACCCCCTCCCTGTATAATGCTGAAGTCTCCCTTGCTCCGCGAGACTTCAACATTATACATAGTAGGATAGTGGGATGAGTTCATTTTCTAGTGCTATCAGAGAAGTGATGGCTGTGGGAAAATTTCGCTTACTGAGAGGCTTTTTTGGCAGTGTAGTGGTCAGAGATGTCGTGAGAATGTCCCCTTATCTTTCTTATCAATTGATAAAATTGCTTGTCACCCGTCATCAATGTCGCTATCACTAAAACTCCATAATTTCGTGGTGTAGAGGCTCCAGCATTTGATTGAACAACAACTGCAACCAAATCAACGCCTAACTGATGCTGTGTCCCGCGTTATGAGTATGTTGACCTTTCCATTCTAACTCCCCTTATCAAATCTTATCAGCAGCTAGCAGTTCTTGTCACCCACATATTCCTGTGCCATAACCTATATCATACCTTGAAAAACGCCCCAGTGTTCCAGTCGGACCGTCCCTCTGCTTCCTTCTCTTGCGCATGCTCAGATCCGGGCTGAGCACGCGCAGGGGAAGGAAGCAGAGGGGGAGCACTCGGCGCCCCCCCCCCTCGGTTCCACTCCCGCCATTGATACATCCGCACCAATCGGTTTCCGGTTTGCCTAGCGGTCGTTTTCGCCTCCAGCGAACTCGAACCCGTGAAGCATTTTGCGGACGGACATACATACATACATACATACATACATACATACATACATACATACATACATACATACAAACCGACACACAGAGTTACTGGTTTATAGAATAGAAGGATTGGGTGTGTACTTTTCCAGTACCCTGAAGCCTGGAAGGTAAGTCCGCGAGACGTCGACGCGTGCGCAATTCCTAGGTGAGACGAACTGGGCTGAACTCTTATGGATCTTATTTTCGAAACAGCTGA